CTGTGGAAACATTTTTCTCCAGAACTATTCTAAGTGGCGTTTTGATAGTAATTAAGAAAAAATTCCATTATTCCCAAGGCACGTATTTCTACAACTCAGGGCCCTGGGGATCATAAGCTCAAATACATGCCATCTACTCTCTTTCCCCATTTGTCTGTGGCAGCATTCTAAAACGCAGGTGCGAGACAGGAATACTCACGGAACATGGTGTAAAACTGCTGCGGGTTCAGATTCCACTTTCCCCAGGGGGTCTTGTGGCCTTTGGACTGGGCGTAGCTGGCATGGTTAAACTCCGGCTCGGTGCCGAAAGAGTCCAGGACGCGCAGCATGCACCTGCAAGAAAAAGCGCCGTGGGTAAAACTGCAACCTTGACCCAAAGTTCCAGAAGTAAAAGCTCCAACCCCTCTTTTCAGGCACTGCCAGAAAGGGACAGATACTTTAAAATATATATATATTTTTTTATTGGTTTCAGAGAGGAAGGGAGAGGGAGAGAGAGAGAGATAAAAACATCAACGATGAGAGAGAATCATTGATCGGCTGCCTCCTACATGCCCCCATTGGGGATCGAGCCCACAACCCGGGCATGTGCCCTTGAGCGGAATCAAACCCGGGACCCTTCAGTCCACAGGCCGACGCTCTATCCACTAAGAGAAATCAGCCAAAGTAGATACTTTAAATGGGAAATGCCACTGGACAGGCATTGAGAGGTTTTAGAATATCCGTGTAACCAAGCAACTCCATATGCGACTTGGACATCACGCAGCAGACACAATGTACTTCAGAGAATGACTCAAACACCCATGAAATAAAGTTCTCCAACGCACCCTGGCTGGTCGCTCAGTTGGTGGGAGCATCATCCCATACACTAAAACAGTGTGGGTTCCATCCCTGGTCGGGGTGCATACAGGAGGCAACTGATTCATGTTTCTCTCTCACATTGATGTTTTGGTTTTTCTTCCTCTCTCTCTCTCAAATTAATACACATATCCTCCTCAGGTGAGGATAAAAAAAGAGAGAGATGAGTAAATGTTCCCCAAAGCTGAACTGCAGAGTGCATGCTCACTGCTGTGTCCCAGCAGGCTGAGCAGCCAGTGGTGCCTAAGGACACTTGTTGAAGAAATAAAGAACTGCCATTTTTAGAGGCCACTATGTATACTTTGTGTCCCCCAAAATTTATGTGTTGAAATCCTAACCCGAAAAGGTGATGGTATTAGCAGATGGGGCTGTTGGGCGATGGTTAGGTCATGAGGGAAGAGCCCTTGTGAATAGGATTAATGGCCTTATGAAAGGAAACTCTACATTGTTTGCTCCCTAGCCCCTTCCATCCTGTGAGAATTCAAGAAGTCTGAGACCTGGAAGACAGCCCTCATTTGGCCATGCTCGTACCCTGTCTTGGGCTCCCAGTTTCCAGAATGTGAGCAGTGAAGAATGCTTGCTGTGCACTAGCCTTCAAGCTATGAATGATCTTTACATCTTCAGTTGAACAATAAACAGAATAGTTTGTGACGTGAAAATTTTATAAAATTCCATTTTTAGCATTCAAAAATAAAGTTTTATTTTAATATAGCTACACCCAGTTGTTTGTACATTATTTGTGGCTGCTTTCACACAATAATAGCGGAGTGAGGAGAGATAGAGACCATCCGTCCAGAAAAGCCTAAAATATTTACTATCTGGCCCCTTACAAGAAAAGCCTGCTGACCTCTGCTGTAGGGTGCGCATGGAATGACCAATCAGAAGAAAAGAATCAATACTGAAACAGAATGTATTGATTTTGGTTACATTTATTTCATTACTAATTCTCAAAACATAGATGTAAATTTAGCTCATAAATGACCTATAAAAATAGCAGTGTTTTCTGTTGTTATGTATCAATACTGCTTCTGAATAGCTCTTACTGGACCAACAAGCGTGGAAGTAAATAAAGATTAAAGCCCATATTTTAGAATCAGAGGATGGCAATGATTTTTAAGTATTTGATTCAGTTTCTTCTCTTTTCCATTTTCAAGAAATTCATTCTTCCAAGTTAAAAAAAAAAATCCTCACCTGAGGATATGTTTATTGATTTTAGAGAGAGGAAGGGAGGAAGAGGGTGAGGGAGAGAAACATTCCTTTTGTGAGAGAAGTATCGATTGGTTGCCTCCTGTATGTGCCCCGACCAAGGATTCATCCCACACCCTAGGTATGTACCCTGACGGGGAATTGAACCTGTGACCTTTTGGTGCATGAGATGACACTTCAACAAACAGCCACCCAACCAAAGCCCAACTTTTCATTTTTACATCAATGTATGATTCAGGAAAAAAAGTGCAACTATCAGATTGGTTGTTCCAGGAAGAGCAACAGTAAATTGCCATTTTGGTGAGATGATGTTCTCATCAGAGATCAGCATCACCAGTCTAGACAAGGAAGAAAAGAGAAGGAAAAGAAAAGGCAGGTAGAAGAGGGCGGGCTGTGACCAGGTGGGAAATATAAGCTGACCACAGAAAGCACCTCCTTGCCTGGATTCCTGTGTGACTCAAGGAATAGGCCATCATCACAGTGACCACTGCCACAACAGGCACAAGAACGTGTTACCAGCCTGGCAGACAAGAAGCACACAGAAATGGATGTCCACACTTCAGGAAAAAGGTAGGGATGCAAGGAACTGATCCACGCCTGTTTTTCCTGCTCTTTGAGCAGCTCTCTTCTTTATAAAACATTCCCAAGTCTTAACTTACACTCTCCCTTTTAAGATAAAGATGCAAAAGGCACTTATTGGAGCCAGTATGTTTTCTTCTGAGGAAGAGGGCAGTGCTGGGACAGAGGGATGATGTGGCAGCTCTGGGGAGGTTGCTGCGAGAGAGGGAGGGACACACACCACTAGGCGGGGCGGGGGAAGGTTGGCTGCCCAGGCACAGAGCTGGGATGCAGGGACCACAGCGCTCTGTGCCTGACCCCAGGGACAAACAGGCACTCTGTCCGAAGGGTCCTTTGCCTTGAAGCTTTGGCTGCTTCCGCTTATTTGCAATTGACTCAAATGGTCTACATTCCTCTCTGGCTCTGGCTTGTCATTCTATTTTTAACTTGGAGTTTTACTGGTGTTATTTTCATTTGGATAATTAAAATAAACTCTAATGAGTAGAGATGCCTGGCAGTCGCCTGATTCCTGGAAGCCTGGAGGTCAGAAAGTGCCTAGTGCTCGCTTCAGCAGCACATATCCTGAAATTGGAGCAATACAGAGAAGATTAGCATAGCCCCTGTGCAAGGACAACACGCAAATTCATGAGGCATTCCATATTAAAAAAGAAAAGAAAAGAAGAAGTGCCTAGATGTTCGCTTCTGATACTGGGCTTCTTCCCCATGGAAGGCTATAGGATGGATGATCCCGTGTCTCAGGTACTTGTGATTCTACATCCTCATACTTGAAGCTTTGATTTAGGAAATGCCTATTGTTTTTAGCTTATCTGGGTTTGTTTTATAACCAGAGGCCGGAGACTGATCTCTGTCTGTAACCGAGGAGGCTAACATTATAGCTTTCCTTGTCAATCACGTTCTGCATCTGTGTTGGAATTGTGTGAGTTAATATTGACACCCTTCCTCTAATGCCTTTTGTGTGTATGTAGCATCAGAAACAGACTAATGGCTTCAAAAGATATCAGCCTCGCTGCCGAGCAGCTGGCCTCCTCGAGCAGGGTTCCCTGCAGCCATGCCAAATGCTCCTGGAATACTCTCTCTGCTCTAAGCCACGCTATTATGGGATGGAAGCTCATAACCTTCTTGCCAGGACCTACTTTCTAATGTGGAGCTCGATGCAAAACGTAATATAAATTAGACTATGTGCATCGGGTGTGTTCTCAGGGCTGTGAAGGAAGACTGTTTTAGTTTTAGATTTGATTTGCATGAGTTTTGCAGTACCCAGCAGTGTACTAGTTGCATATAGGAAATATTTAACTGAGTTTCCTGGGTCCTTACATAAATTTGACAGAATTTTTGAAGATCAGTATGTCCCAAGATCAATACAAATCAAGGGTTTGCCCCTAAATGAAAAATCAGAAGATAACTGTACACTGAATAGAAGTCATATCATCTGCCATCGACCAAGATGAATACAGATGGCTCTGACAAGTTTGATCTTCAAAAGGGGAGGGAATGGGCGGGAAACTCTTTAGAGGATCTGCTCGGCCTTCTGGTGAAACCTGGTGACTAAGTGACATCCCGCCAACAGCACTAACATGTGATTTACTAACGGACGGACAGACATTACCCTCTGCTATAAACCCCCTGCCATGCGTCCTGTCATCCAACAAGAACCAAATACCAATCAGCGGTGGCCTTTTTAATAATGGAATCATCCTTTTTAATTGAACTGAATACTACCACTGAGAATGGTATTACTCCCATCCAAACAGCCCTCCTTAATGGTGAGGATATGTGAGGCCAGGGATCCCCGTGTTGCCCACTCCAGCTGCACATTTATCAGGTGCCTGCCATGTGCAAAATGCCAGGGCACAACAGCACTGCCTTCTTTCTTTTATTTTTAATGTTGTAACTAAAAAGAAAAAAAAAAGTGTGTTTACTTACACAGCTCATTAACCAAGAAAAGAGATGGTTATTTCCATGTAACAGAGAACAAATATGATGGCCTGGGATTCATGAAGATTTCAAGAAAATGCAAACCCCAAACCAGGAAAAACCTGATACAAAGGTAGAGAGCGACCCAGGCCCAAACCAAATTTTTATCTTGCTATTTTATGAGTCTACATTCAAAGGCAATGAGAGCACAGGGTCTCTCTCAAACAGTCCCTCTCCTCTGCCCATGAGCATGCCTCTGCCCAGTGAGACAATCATTGCTACCACGAGGAAGTTCCACGGCAAGTGCCTTCTTCCCCTCTGTGTTCCTGAGAAGAATCTTAACATTTTAAATTTTCATTTCTTTCAATTCTAAAGGACTTCCAGTCTGACATAATTTTAGAGATGAAAGCTAATGATATTAAACTATAAACTAACCGGAATTAAAGAAGTGATTGATGTATTGGTTAAGTTAAAAGAACAGGAAACAGCCTAAGTGCCCATCAGTAGATGAATGGATTAGAAAACTGTGGTACATCTACACGATGGAATACTATGCTGCTCTAAAAAGGAAGGAACTCTTACCATTTGCAACGGCATGGATGGAACTGGAGAGCATTATGCTAAGGCGGGGCGGGGGGGGAAATGGACACATATGTAATACCCTTTGTAATAAAAAATTTAAAAAAAGAGAGAAAAGAAAAAGTTAAAAGAACACATGAAAACATCTCTTTACCAAATATCAACAGAAAAGGAACACATGGTGGGGGCAGCGGTTACAAGTCGTTCTAACTGAAAGACTTTCAGAGTGTTCTCTTAGGAAGCTGGTTTAAACAAGTCAACACTTACTATTGCTGATAAAGTTTGTGCTAACTTCATGATTTTTAAACAAATTGACGCAACACTGACATTATAGAATGGGTATAATGTTTATTTAAATGTATTCACCTTTTAAAATTTATTGAAAACTTTGAGACCTTAAGTAAAAGCCAGTATCAACTGCAATAAATGGAAGACAACAAAAAAGCATGCTATTGTTCTTTAATAAGTATTAAACTCAAAGTGAAAGAGAGAAACACTGATGCAAGAAAGAAACATCGATCAGTGGCCTCATGCAGGCACCCCAACTAGAGATCAAACTCACAACCTGGGGATGTGCCCTGACCGGGAATCGAACCCACAACCTTTCGGTGTACAGGACAATGCTCTAACCAACTGAGCCACACTGGCAAGGGCACAGGTTCTCACACTTTGTTAAAAATGCATGCAAGTGTTAAGAGTAGTGTTGGAGCCCTGACGGTGTGGCTCAGTGGTTGAGCGTAGTTGTCATGCACCAAAAGGTAACCAGTTCAATTCCTGGTGAGGGCACATGCCAGGGTTGCAGGCATACAACCAGTAGGGGGCATGCAGGAGGCAGCCAATGGATGTTTCTCTCTCACTGATGTTTCTATCTCTTTCTCCCTCCCCCTCTCCCTTCCTCACTAACAATCAATAAAAACATATATTTTTTTTAAAAAAGTAGTGTTGGAGAAATAGTAGCACCAAACTAAGCCTTTTTTCAGAAAGACTGAAAGAAAACTGAAAAATTAATAAACTTCATTATCTAATTCAATGTCATCTAGTGTTATGCTGTGTATCATGTAAAAGTGTTTCAAATACTAACTCGTGGCCCCAGCCCCACACCAGGGAACCCCGAGCTCATCCACTAAACCAGCGGTTGCCAACTGGTGGTCCGTGGACCACTGGTGGTCCGTGAGGTCCGAAAGGTTGGCAACTGCTGGTTTAAGAAAACCTTTGGAGCAGCGGTCGCCAACCGGTGGTCTGCGGATCACTGGTGGTCCGTGAGGTCTGGAAGGTTGGCAACTGCTGCACTAAATGATAAAGACTGCCACAGGGCAGCACACACATGTGGGGCATGCCAAGCACAAGGCAGATCTTAAAAAGTGCAAAACCCTGGCATTCAGGTATTCCCAGGCTTTCTCTTCCAAGAATGACAAGAATACTGATGGGGAAAAGCAGAGAGAATGAGTCATTATCTCAAACCTAAGAAACACAAGTAATGACACTGTCCTAATTTTATCGAAATTGCTATGTGATTAAACAGATGAGATTGTTGTGGGCATTCTGGGAGAGGAATGCTAAGTATTAGGGATGGTAAAAAGGAGGTTGGATACTTGTTTTCTATTCTTAACATAAATCAATGAAAATAATGAATAGCCCTTGAAAGTAAAAAGTCACTGTGGAGAATCTGAATTTCAATTAGGAAAGGGAAACACTCTCCACACGGTTCAAAAGATATTTGATGCACTTCTTTCTACTTACAACCATTCAACCCTTGTTTAAAAATAAATAAAAAGCTCTGCAAACCTAAGAACAGCATGCGGCACTTACTGGTAATGAACCCAGGATGGTCCGAGAGTTTTCTTGAATTGAGCGAGTCCCACAATATCAATATAAATGAGCTCAACGATTCTGTCTCCTACGGTGGGGCAGCCAGATCGGTTTCCTACAACCTTCTTCATTATTCTAGAGAAAGAGCAGAAGAGAGAAAAAAAGAAAAACAATTTACTTCAAGGTATGATACTTAACTTTAATAGGCAAATGAACATCCAACAATCCTTACCAGGAGAATGACATGGCTCATCCCCATCCACTGCTCATCTGAATTCTGCCCACCCCCCAGGGCCCATCCAGAGCCCCGACCTGGACTCTTGCAAAAGCAAATGGTGCACAGACACAACCTTCAAAGCCCAGGAAGATACAGGTCGGAGTGTGTCTCCCCCATCCAGCAGCTGAGAGACTTTAGACCAGTTACTTAACCTCAGAATCTTTCCTTATCCTCAAACAAGCAAACAGAACCACCACGAAACCAGATTGTATAGCGACCTCTCAGGGTTCTTTTGTGATTAAACGAGGTACTGAATGGAAAGTGCCCAATGTACGCTACATACTCAGTGACTGTTCGTTTCTTACTATTCCAACGCTTACTGATCTATTTCTGAGAATAACGTCTTTCTATACTGTCTTGTACTGCTTCCAATTTTTTTCTCTTATGTGAAAATGTTCCTCCTGACTAGACTGGCACTACGGTTTGCAATTCTGCATTACCCTTTGCCCACCCACCCATCCATCCAAACCCACACTTGTACTTGGCGAGCCAACGTGCTTGTCACCTCTCACTTAGAAATGGGTCATCATTGAAACCTTTGATCCCTGCTACACCCCACAATGATCCTTCACCAAATTATGGCTGGACATCCTACTTCCAAGGATGGGAGCCTAAACAGGACTCTTCCCTTTAGCTCCAAACTGCCACTGCCTCCAGCACCCTGTTCCCCAGCTCGGTGCCTGATACACAATTTCTTCCCAAGAATTCAAGTATTTCTTTTGTGAAGGGCCAGCTAGTAAATACTTTCATCTTTGAAGGCCACATTTTCTCCGTGGCAACCACTCCACTCTGCCACTGTAGGATGGAAGCGATGGACCCTACAGAAACAGTAGGTGCAGCTTCCATGAAACTTCACCCAAACCAGGCAGGACTAGACTTAGCCTGCTGAGCTGCTGCTTCCGACACCTGATCCAGCTGTATTCAGTGGTTCCCAAACTTGTCTGCACATTGGAATAACCTGAAGGCGTCAAGAGACACTTATGCCTGCATCCTATCCCCAAAGGTTGTGACTTAATTAATCTGAGATCTGCTCGGGGCCTTGGGAGTCTTAAAAGGTCCTCAAGAGGTTCCAATGTTCAGGAATGTTTGGGAACCACTGCTCTATGCCATTTCCACAATTACCTTCTTAAATAAAATACATCTGTCCCTGTCACCAGTGCTTAAAGATCTTCGTTCCTCTTGACCACGAAACAAAGTCTTTGCCTGACAGACCCCCAATATGCCTTCCCTGACTTCCCTCGAAAGCACCATCCCTGGGGCTCCAACAGTGTTCCATTTGTTTACCCACCCACCCACTTACTCATCAGCTTACTCATCCTTTCACTCATTTGCTCAGTAAATAGGAGTACCCACTATGTGGTAGGCACTTTTCTATGTGCTAAATAACAGTGAAGAACAATATTCATAGTTTCTTCACTTCCCGTGCTTACATTCTAGCATCCGCACCTCAATTAGAACTAATCACATTGTAATTAGTGTAATTATTATGTAATGCATTAATTATAATTAGCAAATGACTGGCATCTCCATAAACACATGCTGCCTGGCCATCTCTGCCGACCCCTTACCAAGATCCAGTCCACAGAGTGCACTAGAGGAACGAGTGCTAACTGCATGAAGGCATCCACCTCACAGGTTGGTGCCCAGTGTGCTTGACCGTAAGCAGGAGGGAGGCACCAGAAGGCAGCGTGCGGAAGGGACAGAAGGTGATTAAGGGTTCAGAAGACTTTGGGTTTATCTGCAAGGCAGTACAGCCGCAGAAAGCATAGGCTCCGAGGCCAGACACAGAGCTCCAGTCCTGGCTCTCCCACACATTCTCCATGGGACCCCAAACAACCCATCTGTAGTTGGAAGCTCAGTGTCCTCACCTTTCAAATGCATAAAGCAATAGCACCTACTTCCAGGTTTGTGCTAAGGACTAAATAAGATGAAAACATATACAACGCTTAGCACCTGATGCTGTTAATAGTCATCATGGTTGTCATAACTGTGGAAACCACTGTAATTGAAGCCCTTACCCACAGTTTCAGAAAATGGAAGTCATTTAACAAATGACAGTGATATTATCTTACTGATAGTGCTTCCATCTCAACACTGGCACTGGTCAGGTGTGGGCCTTGGACCTAACAGTAAACAGTAAAGTAGGAGCCAGGTGAGATACATTCACTGAACACAGATGTCCATCCAACGTGTTTCTTCTGCTAACATTTGACATATCGCATCATGATGACTTGGCTGCTGGGTGGGAAAACCTCAGTGGGCAGTTATCTGAAAGGACTGAAGGGGTTCTAAGCGTTCCTGCTTCGCCAGCTGTGTCCATCTGAAGGACACAGCACTGCAAGCAAGTTTCACTGAAATGGAAAGCCCAGGTAGAGTTAACAGACTAAGAGCTGAACATTGGCTAATTGAAAAAGGATTGGATCAGGGCTTTCAGGAAACTCATTCTATCCAAATTAAATTATAAACAGGAACCTGCCCTGTTTCAAGATTTTGAAAGCTTGATGTTGAGCAGGGAATGGTATAAATTTCAGCAAGAGACAGGGAGTTAGGCAGGCCAATAATGTCTTGTGCTGCAGATGTTGGAAGCACCTGCAATAGCAACGAATAAGCCCTGGGTTTGAATTTTCTGGCATTCATTTGTGAAGCCTCTGGAGCCTGCAGCTACAATGAAAACATATTATCCTTTCACAGTGTATGTATTTAGCTCCTGAAAATAATCTTCTTATCTCCTGCTTAGTGAATTATCACTTTCATTTTCCTCCACAAGAAATTACACAGTAATAGAGGGCTTTAAGAGTTTACAATTTCTTTTTTTGTATTCTGACTTTAAAATTGAAAAGTAATCTCCTTACTCCTTGAGCTCAGCCAGCGAAGCTGAAATCCTAATGTCATGGCCCAGTAAGTACAGCGATGTAATTAAATCACTCCACTGCACTAATTCACCAAGAGGGCCGCCGCTGAACGCTGTCTCCGCAATCTTGAACCCAGACTCCTTCGTCAGGAGGCCCAGGTGGACCAGGACCTGGGAAAACAAACAAGAGGCAAACGCTGATTCCACCAAACCAAGCACAACTCCACAGTAACACACGAAAAAGCGAGCAACCAATGTTAACACCACGGTTACGTTCAATGACATCTCAACGTGGGGTAAGCAGTTTTTCAAAAAAGTAAAAAGAAAGGAGGAAAATGATTTTTCATTGTTGTTTTAGAGAAACAACGATCCTTGCCGCAACTATGAGAATGAGGTACAGATAATCCTTTTTAAAAAAAGGATGTATTTGAAAAGTCAAAAGTAAAGGAGGGTAAGGACAATAAGATGTCTTTTAACAGTATGGGGCTTTTCCTCACAGCTAGAATATTTTATGCTTTTAACATGGAAAATGCCAAACACATACTAAGGCAGCCCTGACAATAAAGTTAATTGCCATGTGCTCATCATGTAACTCCAATCATCATTAACTCATGATAAACTTTATTTAATGTATAGCCTAATTTTCTCCCAAACCCTCTAGCTTATCTTGAAGTAAAGTCCAGACCTCATTTTTTCCTCTATAAATGTTTTCATCTATAAAAAAAACAAACCTTCACTTAAAAAAACGTAACATCACTAACACCCCCGAACAGCTATTAATTCTTTAATATTATCTAGTTTCCATGCGGTTCTTACACCTCCTCAGTGTCCCTTATGTTTTCAAGTGTAGCTGCTCTAGTCAGAAGTCAAATAAACGGTAATTGCCTCATGTATTTCTTAGCCGTCTTTAACAGGTTAAGCGCCCAACCTGTTTTGTCTTCCGGACAGAAAGTATAGTGTTTGTCACCGGTGACTGATTGTGCGCTTAACGTGTTAACCTAAAGTAGTGCCCCATCAGCCTTTGGGGAAAGAGGGGGGTTTGAGGGGCTGGTCATTTATTTGTCAAAAAGACTGGGTTGTATTTCCAGTAGTCTCTCTCTTTTCTTCGTGGAAAATTAGTAACTAGATCTACAGACAGGATTAAATCCATATTTAGTTTTTCTAGCAACACTACTTCATAGGTGGTGCCGTCTACTTCCTTTCAGGGGTGGGAACGTCTGTTTTGTGATGTTAGCAGCTACTGATGATCATTCATCCATGAGGGGTGGCAGAATGGTGATACTGGCTCATTCCTTCTGCACTTATTAGTGGGAATGCTTCTGTAAGAGAAACTATCTCATATCAACCAGCTACTTGGGTACCCTAAAATACAGCTTACATAAAAAAAAAAAAGCCTGGTAAATACTTCAGTCTTTCCCTTTATTTAGCAGTTTTTAAAAAAATGTTCTTTAGTGTTCTCTAACAATGACCCAAAGAGGACTTACACACACACACAGAGGCACACATCATTGTAAAAGTATGGCTATAAGTTTATTTGCTGTGTTGTAATAATTGTAGTTGTTATTCTGATTATCACATTGTCTCATCTTGGCCAACAGGAAGCTATTCAGTTGGCTTCTAAGTTCTTTTACACAGTGCTGGTCTTTGACAGTTTACTTTCTGATAAGACAGGGTGTTTCAACCTTATCATGTACAACTCCTGCCACAGACCTTAATCAGCCAGTTTTCTAAGAAGCTCTGACACCATTCAGTGGGAATGGTATTTAAAGATCAAAGGCCAGTGATAAGCACACTCTCAATCGTCACTTCCCGTAGGCCTTTCAGTGGGCACAGCTAGAAAATTTACTTTTTCCTGAGGATAAAACTAATCATGAGTTCATACTGGTTTTTCCAATTCAAACTCAGGATTATAGTATCGTTACATAAGATTATCCATCTGACATCTGTTATTTCCTCTCCCCTACACTGCAAACCCCACTTCTCAAGGACACTCACATAATTACTTGCCTTATTCCAATACACACAATTGATTCAGAGTGAGAATATCAACACCACCACCTCCTACATGATTTAAAAAAATTGTGGAAAGACATTTTTGAAATTTTTTTTGTCCTTTGTGATATCCCATGAGAAGCGTTCAACTTACCGTGTTCTAGTCAACAAGAATAGTCCATCTCTATACATTTGTAGTAAAACTGGACAAGCAATGAGTTCATTTGTTTTATATTCATTCAAGTACTGCTATTTATTGGTAATTAAATTTTTACACTTATGTAAAACTAGAGGCCCAGTGCACGAAAATTCATGCACTGGGGGGGGGGGGGTCCCTCAGATCAGCCTGCACCCTCTCACAGCCTGGGAGCCCTCAGGGGATGTCTGACTGATGGCTTAGGCCCGCTACCCAAGTCGCATTCTGGCCTCCCTCTGTGAGAGGCAACTGGTGGGCTGATGGAGGGACAGCACTAGCCAGCCTTATGCCCACCTCCCCCGATCACCCCTCTGCCACCACTGGTTGCCGCTGCCCCCTGATTGCTGTCCCCTCTCTCTGCCCATTGGCACCTACTTTGGCTGGCCTGGTGACGCCCCCTCGCCGTCCCTGCCCGCTCCCGTTAACCTGTCGATTTGCATATTAGGTTTTTATTATATAGGACTAGTGGCCCAGTGCACAAAATTCGTGCATGGGGGGATGTGTCACTCAGTCTGGCCCTCTCCAATCTGGGACCCTCGGGGGATGGGATCAGGCCTAAACCGGCAGTCAGGCATCCCTCTCACAATCTGGGACCACTGACTCCCAACCGCTCACCTGCTTGCCCCCAACTGCCCCTCCGCCAGCCTGCTTGTCCCCAACTGACCCTCCCACCCGCCTGCTTGCCTCAACTGCCCCCTGCCACCAGCCTGATAACCCCCAACTGCCCCCCCTGCTGACCTGCTCACTCCCAACTGCCTACTCTGCCAGCCTGCTCACCTCCAAATGCCACTCCCCCCAGCGTGATCACACCCAAATGCCCTCCCCCTCCTGGCCTGATGGCCCTAACCACCTCTGTCTCGGCCCTGCCACCATAGCTTTGTCCAGAAGGTCTCCTGGTCTAATTAGCGTATTATCCTTTTATTCGTATACAAAGAGACCTGGTGCATGGGTGGGGGCCAGCTAGTCTGCCCTGAAAAGGGTCCTGGATCAGGGTGGGGGTCCCCTTGGGAGGCGGGGCTGGCCTGGGCGAGGGGCCTGGGGTGGTCTGCAGGCCGGCCATGCCCCATCAGGTGGGGATCCCTGCTGGGGGGCGTGGCCAGTCTGAGGGCCAGTTGAGGGCAGTTTGCAGGCATCCAAGCCCCCAGCTTTGTCCGGAAGGATGTCTGGAAGTCTCCCTAAGGTCTCCCAGTCTAATTAGCATATTACTCTTTTGTTAGTATAGAAGATTCCTGTATAAAATCTATAAAGTGAGATACATCCAGAGAAGTCTGGTTTCTACACCTGTTGTCTCTATGTTATTCTTTCCCTCCCCTTATTTGACATTATTTTTTTTATTGTGGTAAATTACATATAACATAAAATATACCATTTTAAGCATTTAAAAAATATGAGCAAGAAGTGTGTATGTGTATTACATAAGCATTATATATGTGTGTATATATGAATGTATCTATATGTACACATGGAGGATAGATGTACATATATAAACTCTCTCTTCCCTTTTAAAATAATGTTTACTATTCTCCACCTAACATTTCTTCACCTAACAATACATCCTGGAGGTTACTGTATAGGATTAAATAAAATTACACTTTACTTCCTTTTATAGCCCACCTGGACCTCTGACCACATGCTCCTCCATGTCTCATGAACTCAAGGCCCCAAGCAGAACTGACCCATCAAAGTGCAACTTGGGCCGAAACCGGTTTGGCTCAGTGGATAGAGCGTCGGCCTGCGGACTGAAGGGTCCCAGGTTCGATTCCGGTCAAGGGCATGTACCTGGGTTGCAGGCATAACCCTAGTAGGAGATGTGCAGGAGGCAGCTGATCGATGTTTCTCTCTCATCGATGTTTCTAACTCTCTATCTCTCTCCCTTCCTCTCTGTAAAAAATCAATAAAATATATTTTTTAAAAAAGTGCAACTTGGGATCTGGAGGCATTATCTGTATTTCTTTTTGAGGATATCAAATGAGTCAAATTAGGAATAATACCAAGCTCGTTCGAATTTATTTTAGATATAAGAACATGTAGTTTACTCTGCTCAGTTTTTCATCATCAGAACAGTTCACTTAAAGCCACCGCTGCTAAGTCTCTAACAGGGTATAGGATTTCCCACGCTCAGGAGTATTCTAGATGTTTTCCAAGCATCTCCTCATAAACTTGGACAAAGTGGCTCAAGTTTAATTTATTTCCTCTCTCTCTCAAGCATGTAAGCAGAAGCACCAAACAGAATACCAATGGAACTCACCATTGCCCAAACCCCAGAACCAACAAACTCCAAAAATATGGAATTGTCATAATGATGTAATAGAAAGTTCTAAAAGGTTGTTTGTGTTCAGTAAAGAAAATAGGGTTAAGTTTCCTGACACCACTGAAAGAGACAGTCAGATCATTCAAACGAAAGTCCTTCAGGCAGATATTCTGCTTGGATTCACCCAAGAAATGTGTGCTGGTCCCTGCTAAGTGGGGCGATGTGACTGGGGAAAGGGAAACCCAGAAATGGTTGTACGAGCGGCTGAGCAGATTCACCCGGAGGGAACAGCAGGAAGGCCTGGCATTTCTTAGTCTTGGTTCCAAGCAAATCAAATTTTAAAAGAAAACAGGCATCTAACGAATGGAATTAATTACAAACTCACTTTCTTCCTCTTTCTCTTTTCAAGATTCTGCTTTTCTGCTAGGGACTTGATCGCTTGGATCCACGCATCAGCCATGCGCCGGATGCGCAGCCTCATCCACCGGAACTCTTCATGCTTCTTCATCATGCTGTAGAGAATATTAAAATCCGTACGAATTTCTGCCTAGAAACAGAAATTTAATAGAAAGGAGTAGAAAATGAAGTCAGAACGCATAATGGTTTGCATGAGGTGACATCTGAAAACTCGAAAGAGCTACTCAATTAAATACAGGGCTCAAAAGGGGGTCTTGGCAGCGCAGCTTTTCTTTAAGGTCCCGGGACTGCAAACCAAAGCAAAGGCCTCCGACTGCTCAGCTGCCATAAGGGACATCATTTTAAAAAAGAGAAACTGGGAAAGAAAGCACAGTCACTGCAAAGCCCTGAGCTATGTTAAAATGCATTTTTTTTTATAATGAGTATGTTTGATGTACCTTGAAGTTCTTTGCACCTGAATTTATTGGCCATTTCAATCTACTGCAGGCAGCAGGGTCCTGGGAAAATGGAAGTCAGTTCTTAGCAGGCTACCTGGTGTTGTGAAGGCTGCCAGAGACCTCCTCTGTCCACACAGTGAAGAAGGGAAGGAAGCACATGCGCCTTTTCCAGTTTTTCCCAGACCAAAGAAACGAAAGTTCATTACTTTCTAAAGAATTTAAGAGCCAGGAAGAACATTTTCCGATCACAACTGAATAAAATTTAAAATTCAGGCCAGAGTCATGTAAAAGCCAGGAAGAACATATTTGTCACACAGCTGCATAGAACCAGTGATTAAAATAACAGAAAAAATAAGAACACTAGTATTTGTTTCATGTAACATTTAAAACATGCTGAATCCAACTTTCAGCAGTCACTGTAGTTCATTTTAAACACTCATCTATTGGATCATGGCCCTCCCTGACTCAACAATTTCCCCTGATTCCGGTGATTAAACGATGGGCCTTGGGCCAAATCCCCTCACTGCCTGAGTTTGTACATGAACTTCTACTGGAACGCAGCCACGCCCTTTCGTTGAAATCTTGTCTATGGCTGCCCTCTGAGCTACAAAGTCAGAACAGAGTAGCTGTGACAGAGACCTCAGGGCCTACAAAGATGAGAAGATTAACATCTGGCCTTTTACAGAAAAAGTTTGCAGAGCCCTATCTGAACACTGAAGACTTAAGCTTGTGATGTGGCATATAAAACCTTTCACAGTTCCCCAAGCTACCTCCCCCATCTCACCTTCAAATATCCAAGCCTTGTCCCACTGAACTATGCATGTTCTACTCCCTAAAAATGCTGAACTCTTATACATGCCCTTCTCCTTTCACATCAGACACCTTTATCTCCTTGACACAGTATAAACTCATTTGTCATTTTATTTTTATTTATTTTTTCTTTAAATCTTTATTGTTGAAAGTATTGCATGTCTTTTATCTCCCATTGACCCATTCAGCTCCAACTTTCTGCAGTATCTCATGGCTGAAGGCTGAAACCACAACTTCCTCATTAATTTCATGGGTCTGTGTTCTAGCATTTACACAAGTGTGGTCACTTTTACAACCATCACACTCATAGGTCACAGGGTGCCTCCACAAGGTGTTATTCACAGCACTAGCCTGTCACTTAGGAACCCTAGCAGAATGGCTCAAGAAATAGATGCTAACGAGTTGACTGATGGGTATAGAGCAGTGGTTCTCAACCTTCCTAATGCCGCGACCCTTTAATACAGTTCCTCATGTTGTGGTGACCCCCAATTTCATTGTTACAAATTGAACATAATTAAAGCATAGTGATTAATCACAAAAACAATATGTAATTATATATGTGTTTTCCGATGGTCAGGCTACCCCTGTGAAAAGGTTGTTCGATCCCCAAAGGGGTCGCAACCCACAGGTTGAGAACCGCTGGTGTAGAGGTTCTTCAGTTTACTGCTATTTCAGATCACAGCTGGAATTTCTAGAAGACGCCACATGTATCAACTGGCATTAGACACAAATCGCAAGCCCAGTAAAAGGTTTCCAAAATCACTTACTAATGAATTATGATCAGCTTCCTCGTAGGGATTCTTTGCTCTCCAAGGTAAATGAGGACACCAATTTTCAACCTGAAAAATATAAATCAGAGACACTAAGGACGCTGGCTCATCTGGAAATGAATTAATGTATATAAAACACACTGAGCACAGTCCCGGACACACCATGAGCACTGTCTCTAAGCAGGCTATTATTATTAGTCAGAGTCCATGCTTTTAGCCAGCAATCCAGAGACAGGTGCCCTCTCAGACGAAACCCTAATCAGCAAAGGCCCCAAGGAGTATATGATTACATGTTACATCTGTCCTTCACAGTACTTTACAGGGACTGATTCCTTAATCATTTAATCCCCCATTTCTACACCAGGAGAGGCGGGTCTCACAGCAGAAAGTTAAAAGACTTGAACATTCCCTCCGGGGAATGAGAATGAGAGGTGCCTCTCTGACAATTTAGCAGAAGGACAGGAATGGTTTGTTATCTGCTGCGGCATGTCTGGAAGGGAAATCGCTTGACATTTGAGCCACAGGACTCAGTCATTTATCTCAGAATTAGGAATGCAGCTGATGGTTTAAGGCTAATTGATCGTGCCTTTCCCTCATTTTCTGGCTGTTCACTTCGGACCATCATAAGGAATAAGATAGTAAAAACTATTGGAGAAAGAGATGAAAGGAAAAAGAAAAAAGAACCCTCAACGATTCTGTGAGAGCCATTCTGGAAGATGGATTGTTCTGTCAATGCACAAGAGTTCAGAGAGCTGCGGGGAGGAAGAAAGAGAAAGGAAGAACTCCAGGTTTTATAGGAATCACTTCAACAAAGGTTACCAAAGAATACTGGGTGAATTCACAATTTCTAGTAAAGAAAAAAGAAAAAATGCACTGGGTCATATTGATGTCTGACCTTGTGTCAAAACTGACCTTACAGCCCTGGTGGGCTTCTCAATGGTTAGCGCACCTGCCCAAGCACTGAAGGGTCTCAGGTTCAATTCCTGGTCAAGGGCACATCCCTGGCCCTTGTTGGGTACAGGAGACAATCAATCGATGTGTCTTTCTCCTCTCTCTCTCTCTCCTCCCCCCCACCCCTCCTTCCTTTTCATTCCATCTAAAAAAGCAATGGGAAAATATCCTTAAGGTGAGGATTAACAAGCCTGGCCATACAATTCTAAGATAGCATATCACCCATATACTAATACATAATGAGATTATTAAAGATAAATAATAAGCGGCCATTGAAAATAATTGTTTTCTCTGGCCAGGAGGACCTACAGAAACAAAGCGAAAGCAGGAGGGCGGGATGTCCTGGGAAGGTCACTGAGAAAGCAGGAGCATGTGTGAGGCCACAGCCTCCTGGGCACCAGTAATGCAGCATCAAACGAGACGGTGTCTTCCAGCTGTGGGTGGTTCTCCAGGAAACAGTAGTTTCACTGACCTAGAAACTGTGCTTAACGCAAGGCAGCTTGTACTAAGACCAAAATAACTGGGTGGTTTGCAGGCAACCGGCTGCCTGCAAATGATCTGCAAGCGATAAGCAGAGGGCAGCGAAGCTTGGGGGAGGGTGGAATCCCTGGATAGGAAAAGTGCAATTTTCTCTTTTTCTTCTTGCAGAGTAAAATTAAACTTGACTGCATTTATGAATGACTCCAGAGGCTCCAAAGGACTCCCCAGGAGAAAAGCTAAAATGGTTTTTCTCATAAAAAAGGAAAACACTAACTTGCTTTGGATGCCCATGTCTAATTACTGAGCCCTTACAGCAACATCACCATGAACAGCAATATCAGGAGCTCCACAAATGAGAAAAATGAGGGAAAACCAGCAGAAAAGAAGCGAGCAAGAGGATGAAGCCCGTTAGTCTGGTAGCACCGCACACCTCTGACCTTGCGTTGCTAGGCTAGACAAGCTTACTTAGTTCAAGTTAAATTTTTGTAAATGGACTCAAAGAAACATTGCTATAAAGCATGTTTATAACATGAAGGTGTCGAATGGATTGCAGAGCAATCCTTCAACCCCACACTGAAGGACGAGGATGCACAGGCAAGGGCACACATCACAGCCAACCTCATCCTGAGTGACTAATGTACTTAGCAACACGTCGGTATAAAAGATGAAACACAACTGTGAATAAAGAAGATCAACCACAAGGAGAGACATTCGTGAGATCAGATACCGGGTAAGGGGAAGTACATTCCCTCCTCACTCTTCCGCCCTAAGAAGGAGCTTCCAAAACTTGCTCTGATGAAAATACAGTCCAAGGTGATCTTCTAAAATATGACTTCCCTACAGAATACTTGAGGCTCTAATTCCTCTTTGAAGCTGGTCATTTATCTCAGTTCTTGTTGCTCTAAATGACTGGATAATGCTCTGGACCGCTTCAAGGACAGCCTGGAAGCATGAGAGGCGGAGTCAGGCTATTTCAGCTTTTAGCAAGAAATCTCACTGTCACATGTTCATGGTCCTGGAGAAAAGCCCGATATGAACACCTTGACCCAGAATGAGGAAGGTGAGTTTTGAGGTGGTTGTTTTAGCACAGTGATAGGATAACTGGTTGAGAAGATAATTAAATCAAACATTAACCAATGTCTCCATGGGGTGGGGGTTGGGAGCATTTATTTCTGAAACCTCAGAGGATGGCGAGGACTGGGGAGGAAGCCAGCACTGGCATTAACTCCACTCGTGAACCAGCCCTCCCATGAGCAACTCCCTCCTAAATAAGAGTCACTCATAACACTCGGGGCATGTCTGGCTCAAGGCTAATAACTCAGCCTCCCAATCCCTGGCTCCTGTCTGATGTACCTGGACAGCTTTCACACGTGTTCATCCCAGCATAGCATCCTACCAGGAAAGCTGGACCCCAGCATGAGCTCACTGCCTTCCTGATCTGGATGCTCTTCTACTTCAAATCATGCTTATCCTCTCCTCTCCTCCTGTGTCTCAGAACCCCACTAATGTCCTAGGCCAGCCTGTGGACTGCCTCCTTCCACCGCTGCTTTGGCCACACTGTCCCCACTGTGACTCCCGGTGCCCCCCCCCCCCCCTGTGGCCCCCCGCCCCCCCCCCCCCCCCCGGGACAGGATTGTGTATTTGCCCTCGGTGCAGGCACACAGGGCTGTGGTGCTGGACCCTACCACTGGCCATTCCACCCCTGCCTGATTCCTGGGCCTGGCAGTCTTGCCCCCTCTGCCAGGGTCAGAACTGTATATCCTTAAAATAGTCCACAAATCACCACAGTAAGTCCAAGACTTGAAAACCATCCGAGTTGGCAACACACACAAGAATCAATTGAGAGGAGCACCACTCTAATAACCTTGGATTTGAAGACAAAGCTCCTTCCATGGAAACTGACCTTTTTAGTGCACTGGCCTCAGGCAACAAAATGAAGAGGCAGCAGAAACAGAAAAAGACCAGCCAGGCTAGACCTTAAGAACAGGAAGGGGGCCCCGTAAATTGCTTTCTCGAGAGAGGAGGTAAAAAATTTCACCAATTTGATTTTGACACCCCTCCTCCCAATGATTTAAACTTCTTTGATCTGAGAAGGTTTTGCAGCTTAATCATCAGCAGCGTGAACTGAAATCCCTCAACAGAGCTCAGGTAGGTCACATGGTCAAGGTCTGTGTGGTGGACAATTCATTACACTACAGGGGAAAAAAGGCTGGTAGATCTGCACACAGCTCAAATTGGAAGTTAAAGGTGGAAAGATGCAGTGAAATGACAGCAAGAAGTTGAGGAGATTTGACATATATGCAAGTACTTAGGTAACTGGCATAACTCTTTATAGTAAAATTCAATTCTTCAGAAAGAATAATGATCAGACTCTATTATGGCTTCTTGTCTCATGATTAATGTTAAGTGTTTTTGCTTTAATGGATCAGTGACATAGTTTCATGCTGTATTTTTCAGAGTCAAATGCAATCAAAACTAAATGAGAAAAATGCATGAGAAGAAGTCTGAGATTATCTCTGGATGATGATGCTAAGGGTGCTTTTCATTTCCTTCTTTGTGCTAATCTGCATATTATGATTTTTACAATAAGGATTCATTAACAGAATAATTTCTAAAGGAGTTCTATTTTATAAGCATCCAATCATACTGAGGTTCACAGTATGTCAGGGTCTCTGGAATCCTATCTACACTAATAAAAGACAAAGATGCTAATTGACCGTACCTTTGCTATGCCCAAGCCACTCCCACCAGCCAATCAGAGCGACTATATGCACATTAACCCAACCAAGATGGTGGCTGGCAGCCACAGAGCTGGAGCAAGCAGGAGGCTTGGTTGCCCAGGCAATGGAGGAAGCCAAGCTTCCCGCCTGCCCTGAGCCGGATGTGGCCAACACTCATGGCAACAAAGTTTCAATTATAGAAGATAAATAAATCCAAGATGCCTGCTTCCAGCCAGCCTCCACTGGGAGCTTGGCAGGCTGGGGGCTGTGGCCAGCCTGCAAACAGCCATCAGCCCTTCACCCAGGATGGCCACACCCTCATGAGGTGAGAGTCCCCACTGGGGGGCTTAGCCAGCCTGAAAACGGCCCTCAGTCCCTCACAAAGACTGGCCAGGTACTCCAGCAGGACCCCCTACCCTGAAGGGACTTTGGCCAGCCTGCAAATGGCCCTCAGCCCCTCACCCAAGATGGCCAGGCACCCCAGTGGAGACCCCCACCCTGAAGGTGCTGTGGCCAGCCTGCAAACAGCCATCAGCCCCTCACCCCGGCTGGGCAGGCACTCCTATATAATAAAAGGGTAATATGCAAATTGACCCTAACAGCAGAATGACTGGGAATGACTT